AGGGTTCTTGATCCTGGCCCTCTCTCTTCTCTTTGGGAGACCTAGGGCTAGTTATTAACTTCTTAGGGCTTCAGTTTTCCTATCTGAAAAATGTACATTCCAGGTAACTTGAAGAGCTTCTGGATCTGGGGCACATACAATCACCCTCGATGGGATTTTGCTTTTCCTCCGTGTTTTGAAAATTGGCTCAGAAGTTTGAGATGCAAAATGCTGTTTACTTATAGCAGTGTCTAGATCTTCATGGAAGCTACCTTTTTTTGGATATTTACTGTGTGCCAGCCTTGTGTCAGGCAGGCCTGTCACATGCATTTTCCCCTTCATTTTCACTGCAGCCACCGCCATCTCCCCTGGACAGATGAGGAGAGCAGAGCTCAGAGAGGTGAAGAGACTTGCTGGATGCCACATGCATTACTGAAATGTGATTGAGCAAATAATTGGTAAAAATAAAGGATGTCTTTTCTGGTTTATTTCCCTGCTCAGCATCTCTATTTACTCCTTTGCCTTTTGATAACAAATCTAGCCTGTATGGCTAAAGGCAAAGTTAGTCATAGTACCCCACTACACTGGCCCCAGGATTGGTCTAGAAAAGTGCATATGGTGTGGTCTGGGTGAACCAGAGCCCTTTCCTGGGATTTTCCAAACTGGAGCCTAAGAGAGAGCTCTCTTCTTTCTTGGATCATGGTTGTGGAAGGGACAGGGGCTGGAGGTGCCTATGATCTCTCTCACTTGGGGGAAAAGAGCAGAAGTGGGGAAAGTGAAGAGAGAGAAAGAGAGAAAGATGGTAACTGGGTCCCTGGTTCAGCTCCTGTGTTGGACCCTGTCATGTTCTGCCCACACTCTCCTTCAGGAATCGTATTACTCAGCTTGATCTGTCATAACAAAATACCATAGACTGAGTGGCTTAAACAACAGAAATTAATTTTCTTACAGTTCTGGAGATGGGAAAGTCCAAGATCAAGGTGCTGACGTGGTCAGGTTCTGGGGAGGGCTCTCTTGGCTTGCAGATGGACACATTCTCACTGTGTCTACACAAGGCAGAGAGAGAGGGAGAGAGAGGGAGAGGGAGGTGGGGGAGGGAGGGAGAGAGAGATTAGATCTGGTGTTTCTTCTTCATATTAGGACACCAGCCCTACTGTACTGGTGACCTTGTGACCTCATTTAACCTTAATTATCTCCTCACAGGCCCTGTCTCCAAATACAGTCACACTGGGCATTAGGGCTTCAACATATGAATGCTAGGGGGCACACACTTCCAGTCCGTAACAGGAGGGAAGGACTGTTTACCTCCAGCTGCCTGGGAGCTGCTGGCAGAAAGGGCTGAGCTGCCCGTCTTCTGCAGGGACTGCCTCAGCTGAAGAGCTGCCTTGTGGGTTATTAACGCCGTGCTTCCTTGGCTCCACTCAGGACCACTGATAAACAAAGGCTGGGCGTCCTCTCCCCAGCACCGGAGGATCATGCGGCTTCAGAACTCTCTCCGGGCCTGGGGCTTCTGTCACTGCGGCAGGTTCACACCTCGGGTTCTCCCTCCGGCCAGGCCTGCTTCCTTGCCTCCCACAGCTCTTCTGAACAAACGCCCTCCACGCTAATATCCATCTAAGAGTCCGCTTCCTGGGGAACCCAGCCCACCACTGCTCCTGGCGGCTCCTGAAACTGCTTACTTCCTTATCTCCTTCAATTCTGTGAGCTACTTCACAAATGTGCCTTTATTTTTTGCTTAAAAATAGAAACAACTTTAAATCAGTTATAAAAACTACCAAAACCCCCCACTACCGGTGGCCTCAGCTGCCCGGAGCCCTGCCGTGGGTGATTCCCGGGGCGCGGTGGGACCGCCGCTGCAGGACCCGCTGCCTGCACGTGCAGAACCTCGCCGCCGGCCTGGGTCTGAGGAGAGAGAATGGCTTCTGTCTCTCTTCCACCTTCCAAATCTCACGGGAATGTCTCTTATTGGTGGAATCAAAACTAGAACCCTGCCCGCACGGGAATCTGGGAAATGTAGTCTTTAGCTTTCCAGCTTCTGGTGATACAGGAAGAGCTCAGAGGGGCTGGGATAGTGCTCAGTTGTTAACTAACAGTCAGCAACCAGCACAAAACGAACTTGGAAGTCACAAAAAACTTGCAAACCAAAAAGCCCAGTGTGATGTGAAGGAGAACACATCTGTGAATTTCCTTTGACAAGTAAAATGTACCATGCAAATATAAGGTGTTTTATAGCTGGAGAGGGTTCAGAATTGTGGGCGGGGCATTCCAAGGAAACAATTCAGTCTTCACTAAAAAAAAAAAAAAAAAAATCCAGGTAATTGGCACCAAATTATTTTTTTGCTTTAATTTTTTGAATAATTGTTTCCAAACTTTTATTTTAAGTGAATAAATGTATTTATGTGCATTTGTCAGAGAGTGCCTGTTTGTTGTGTGATGGGTCTGTGTATGCAATTTCACGTTCTCTTTGTGTTTGTATGTGAATGTGTGAGTGAGGAAGCCTGTGTGTGTGCGCACACATGTGTGTGTTTCATGTTGGAATCTCTTTATATGTATGTATACACGTATAGTGTATATGCATGTATTGTGTGTGTGTTGCATGTTGTAGTGCCTCTGTACATGTGTGTACGTATACAGTGTATGTTGTATTTGTGAGTGTGTGTTGCATGTTGGAGTCTATGTGTATGTCTACACATAGTGTATATGCATGTATTGATGAATCTCTGTTCTGAATGTCTGAGTTCATTCCAAATTTTAGTGAGGATATGAGAACTGACCTCTCTCAGCACATGGATAAGCACCATAATTGAGCTTCTTTTCTCTCCTTTCTGTTGGCCACATTATCTGCTTTCTTGCCCCAGGAGTGGCTCTTTGGCATCAGGGAGCAAAGGATCACAATTTGTCATCACAGAGAGAAATTGAAGAAGCTGAGACTACAGAGAGGGTCTTTGAGCTTGGTGAGCTTTCCAAGGGGGAGGCTTTTACAGCACAGTCACGTCAGTAAAGGTGATGGAGCTTGTGTGTGTGCATGTGAACATGTGTGTTCACCCACGCAGACCTGGGCTCAGGCTGGGGACTGTGCTAATAAAATCTATCAGAATGTCTGTCCTAGCTATTCCTGCAGCGCATTCAGATTCCAGACTAGACCCCTTAACCTCCCTCCTGCTTCCTCTCACCCTCTCTCCCACATCCAGTTCTACATCTCAAATGGCTCTCTGTCTAGAAGGATCTCTCCATCCCCACTGCCTCGCCTTAGTGCATTTCCCCTTTGATCACAATATCCTCTTCAATACCTCCTTCCTTCTACCTTCAAGCCTATTCTTTTCATTGAGAAAATTCATGTTTTCTGCATATAAACTGAACTATTTTATTCCTCCATTCCTCCCTGGGTGTAGAAATGAATCCAGAAATCAAATGGCTTCCACAAGGAACCCCATTGCTGCATTTCTGTAGTGAGCAGAAACTTGCAATTCATGTCTTATAATTAGATGAGCTGCTAATTGAGGAGGGGCATGCCAACCTGATTTGAGACTTGACACAGTGATTACAGCCTTAATTACAAGGAGGAGAGGCATCAAGCCTCCTAATCTGGTTTTATCCCTGTTCACACTCCTGGCTGCAGCTGCCATGGGGAAGGCACTGAACATTCTGGACTATAAGATGGCTCTTCAGTGGCTGGGGCTGAACCAAGCCCCACGGGCTGACAGGTCTCCCTATGAGGGATGTTTTTCTACTTAGGACTCATCTAGGCTTTTTTTTTTCTTCACAAGTAAATCTGCAAAGGACAGTATTTCATCCTCCCAGAGCTGTGGAAAGTCACCCTGCTTTTGAGGCAGCTTCTGAATCATTTCAAATCATTTAGAAGAGCAATTGCCTCCCATCATTTTGCGAGGGCCCTGAGTCTCCCTTCCCTCCCTTAATTATGAATTAGTTCCATGAGGTTGAGCTGTCTGATGTGATCTTCACTGTAACCCTGGCTCCCAGAATTGACCTTCGGTATTTTGTCATTGTATGAACATGCCAGGTATTCATTGATAACTGTTGTTGACCCCAAATAAACAGACCACCAGATATTTCTCCAGCAAAGATGGGTTTATCCCAGATCAGCAGAGAATTGCACTTCAGTGTCTACAACCATGGCGAGACACCTGCAAGTCCCCACACATAAAAGGAAGGAGAACTCTTTTATAGAGCTGAAAAGAAGTTGAGAGGGCTATGTAAACAAAGAGTCCAGGGCATTTCATTGGCTGAGTCCTTGCCAGGAAAGAAGAGTCTTCTTTCTGCTGGGCTCTGCTGTCATTGCAGGGCATGAGAGCTCCCCCTTCTGGTCTCCTGATTCTATTTAATTGAGGTTACTGTTGATTAATTTTACACTGGGCTACAAAGATGAATCATAGATCCTGCTCTATAGGAGGATGGAAGGAAAACCAGCAATTAAAATACAGCCAGGCAAAGGCAATGTGAGAGGTGAACATAACACGATACAGGAGCCTAGAGGCATGGAATTGGACTCCTGCAGTCAGCAAATACTTCCTGGAAGAGGAGAGGAACAAGCTGAGGCTAAAAGGTTGTGGTAGTTTTCTAGGTGGAAAAATGGGGAAAGGCATTCCAGGTAGAGAGAATAGCTTGGGCAAAGGCAGGAAGGAAGCATGAAATACCAGGATGCGTTCAGGGAGCCGTAAAATGCTGGAGCATACGGATGAGGAGGCCAGTGGTAGGATATAGACTGGAGGATCTGGTCCCAGGGGCAGGGTCTCCATGCATGACTGTGGGCTGTTCGCTTTAGGAGGGCACCTGCCAAGGTGGTGAGGTGCTGAAATACAGCTCTGGCTCCACACGGCAAACATGTGCTTATAGCTACATCCTCCCAGAGGAGTCTCTCCTAGTTTGCAAAAAGGCTCCTGTGGGCCAGCAGTGTCTGTGGAGGGCTGCGCAGATCTTGCTAAAGGTGTGCCTCTATCTGGTTTTCAAACTTTATGCCTCAGAATTACCTGGAGGGCTCCTTAAACAGAGATCGGGAGGGGGAGGGTATAGCTCAGTGGTAGAGTGTGTGCTTAAGGTGCACGAGATCCTGGGTTCAATTCCCAGCACCTCCATCCAAAAATAAATAAATAAATAAATAAACAAACAAACAAACAAACCAATCAACCTAATTACTTGTCTCCCCCCCCCAAAAAAAAAGAGAAAAAAGAGAAGTAAAAACCCCAGAGATTCTGAGGCCCTACCCTTAGGGTTTCTGACTTAGTAGGCTTGGTGTGGAACCTATGAATTTGCATCTCTTTTATGTTCCCAGTGATAGTAACACTCCTGGCCCAACCCATACTCTGAGAATTACTGATCTGGGTAATAGGAAGCCACTGGGAAGGGTTAGGTAGGAGAAATGGAGCCAGGGCTCCAGGTAAGAGGGATCTGTTTCCTGGGACTAGGCGCCCCAGTATCCCTTGAGAACCAGTTAGAGCAGCTGAATGTATCAAGGACAGTGGATACATAATATTCCCCATCTTGTCCTGCCAGGTGACGTTAAGTGGCACTATTCATTCAAGTAGAACTTCTATTCAAGGCTCCCCCTGTTTGGAAAGGTTTTGCCCACAGAGGATTTAAGGAGTGGCCACATCATTATAAGAAGCTTACCCCTAAAACTTTTACATAGTGAGCTCCCAAGTGATTTAAATATTGTTTACACTTTATTAATTACTCCCTGGAGAAGCAAAGGACTAAAGAAACCTAAAGCCACCAACTAAGAGGTGAGTCATAACTGGTGATAAAGCTTCTTTGAAAATTCTTATTAGTTCAATAAATACTTGACTTTAAAATTATAGTGTGTGTGTGTGTGTGTGTGTGTGTGTGTGTGTTTGGAGAGAGGGTAGGGGAGGAAAGGAATCACAGAGTGTCAAGACCTCGCACATTAGTAAATGTTCATTGAATGAAGATGTAACAAATGGACCAAGCTTGGTGATGGAGACCCCTGTGAGAGGCCGGGTAAGGGGATCTGGGCTGACAGGAAGCTGTCACGTGGTGTCTGGTTCTGGGCTAGGGTTTGGAACTTGGCTTGGGAAGCCAGGCCCTCCTACAGTCCAGTCCTCTGCTGTGGCCCCCTTGTATGTGGCCCCTTCCTCTTTTGGGAGATTCAGGTCAATCCTGCCGTAATGTTGAGGGCTGGAGTTGAGAGGTGGTGGGGCTAGAGAGAGTCCTTCCTTATTCTCTGGTTAGGATACAGGCCCCAGGATACATTAGCTCTGGATAGGGGTGGGGAGAGTGGATGCCGGGAAGAACATCCCATCTGATTGTCCTCAGCCTATTTCCAGCCTCAGCCCCAGCCTTTCCCAAGAGCTAGGGCAGCACGGGTGCAGCAAGGTCTCTATTAACTACTGATTTAGGCTTCCCGCCAGGGAGCCTCATGCTGGCTGAAGGCGGCCATCCCCAGCTAGCTCAGCTGTTTCCAAACCAAGCCTGTCAGCAATGTGATTGGGAGAAGGAAAGCCTTGTCAAAGGCAGCCGGATTCTGCCTCTAGATGTCAAGGAGAAAAGGAGAGGGGAGGATGTGGAGGAGAGTGCTCTCAGAGGCTGCAATCAAGATCAGGTTGTTCTTAATTAAGACAGCTCCAGGCAGCACATTTCCATAATTCCCCATTAAAGGGTCCTGATGTATGAGTCACTGTGGGAGCCGTGGTTTTTCGAGTCAGCACTGTTCCGTGTCTGAGGCTCCTTAAGTCAAAAAGCCAATCCATTTCCATCACCCAGGCTTTCTGAGCAACTGGGATGTGCCTGGCCCTGTGCCAGATGCTGGGCCCAGCCTACAGAGGGACACAGCAATGTATGTGGCCTTAATCCCTGCCCCCCAGACGAAAGCCGCAGCTAGACCCTGACCTCGGAGGAGGATCAGGGATTCAGGAGCTGTTGGGTGGTGTGAGATACTCCAGGTGGGCTCGGTCCTTCCTGTGATGACAGGGAGGTAGCATGGGACCGAGGGAAGCCTACTGGATTTGAAGATGGAAGGTCTGAGTTTCATTCATTCAGCAAAACTTGTCTCACAGCAACCTCTCACAAAATAGGGTGTGCTCTGCAAGATAGTGAAGGGGATGGTTCCTCACAAGACTGCCTATCTTGGCCATGTTCCTGGGAGGACGCCAGGGTGTTGTGCAGAGATAGGGGTCAGACCCTGGGGAAGCCTTGCCTATATGGCCCACGTGGAAATGTGCAAGGTCATCGTGCAGCCATGGCAGAGCTGCTCCTCTACAAAATGCTTTTGAAAACTTTGGTGAAATAGTTAATTAGAAAAATGCATGATGCCAAAAGTGACTCAGCAAGAATCGGGATACGTGATGCGGCCTGTAACTGTGAAATGAACTAGAATAATAATTAATAATCTAATTCAAATCTACTGGGCGTAGATGTTTTTACAGGAGAGTTCTAGGAAGTCTTCAAAAATCATATAATCCCTCTGAAACTAATTCAGATAATACACAAAGAGAGAAAGTTACCATTGTGAGCTAGTTAACAAAAAACAGAGAAGGAGAAAACAAGAAACAGATTATGGAGTAACCTCTCTTATTCACACAGATGCACAAATCCTGGGTAAACCAGTTGTGTTAAGAAAGATACTACACCCAGGTCGGGTTTATCTCTGGAATATAAATGTTCAATATGAGAGAATTTTTTGGTGTAATTCACCTCATTGACAAATTAAAAGAAAATTCATATGATTTTCTTAATGCAGAAAAGTATCCTATGAATGTATTTATAAATCATTTATGATTATATATAATAGAGTACCTATTATTTATAATATAAATTACCAATTTATTGTTGCCATTATTAAAATTATTAGAAAATTAGAAACGGAAGAAAATCATCATGATCTGATACAGAGTGTCAAAGCCCCAAAGGGCGCAAGCGGAAGCAGACCAAAGGTAATTTTGGAGAAGAAGCAGGTTTGGTGGGGGAGCTATAGATTACGTGACTAGATATCCAGACTTTTTATAAAAAACCACGTGTTATTGGGAGAGGGATAGAAAAGCAGACCAACAGGAGAGCCCAGAAGCAGCCCCGCGTACACGGCCGATGTGGCATAATAAACTGGTGAGGATAGGAGAGACCACCAATAAATCAATTAGTTATTTACATAGGAAAATAAAGTTACATCCCCACCTTTCACCAAATGCAAAAATATATTCCAGATAGGCTAAAGAGATAAATGGAAAAGCAAAACTATGATACTTTTGGAAGAAAATACAAGAGAATATCTTTGAGGTTTTTTGGTTAGGTAGCAATATCTTATATAAATTAGAAAAAGCAAAACCAGAAAAAGATTGCCGAGGTTGACCACCTTAAAACTGAAAGCCATACCATAAGTCAAATGCAATGACAAGACCTAGATTGGGAGATTTTCTTCAGTCCAAGTTGAATTAACATTCAGTATATCATCACAGACATAGAAAACAAACTCATGGTTACCAGAGGGCAAAGGGGGTGGAGAGGGATAAATTGCGAGTTGGAGATTGTAGATACTAACCACTATATATAAAATAGACAAACAACAAGGTCACACTGTATAACACAGGGAACTATATTCAGTATCTCGTAATAACCTATAATGAAAAAGAATACGAAGAGGAATATACATGTATAACTGAATCCCTATGCTGTACACCAGAATTAACACAACATTGTTAATCAGCTATACTTCAATAAAAAATAAAATAAAGGTAAAATTGAAAAATTCAGTATATCAAAAAGACTCATTTAAATTGGTAAGAAAAAGAAAAAGCCAGAAAATCGGGAAAAGAATACAAGCAAGCAACTTATAGATGAAGAAACTTATAGACCAATAAACACGTAGCAAGATGCTCTGGGCCGTCCTCATTGGCAAACATTGTAAAGCAAATCACATCAAGTTTTGGAGAGAAAGGGGGGCAGTAGGACCCTGTACACAAATCCGTGAGGGTGCAAATTAATGCAGCCACTTGAGGGAACAGTTTACAGATTGTAAAATTGAAGCTGCATGTTGTATCAGCCAGTGTCCTGGCTGGAAAGAGGTAGCACACTCCAACTCGATAATTTGAGGAGAGTTTAATGATGGGGCTATTTAGAAACTTAAGGACATGGTGCGGGAAAAGGACAAGGAATAGTGTAGTGCCCAGGAACTAGTCTTAGTGGGAACTTACCATCCCCAGGCCTGAAAGGGAGTGGTTATTGGAATCTGGAGACAGAGATGGCTTTGAGGAGAAGGCAGCCTGTGACCTCTAGCCAGACGGCTGCAATCCCACAGGGGAGGGACCTGGGGGAACAAATACCTTGACCTCACTTTCCACCCCTCTCCAATTTCTCATTAGTCTTCTTCACTGGCCAAATGCAACAGGAGGCAGAAGGCAAGGGGGCCTGCTGATTAGTCCACGTAATTCAGCTTCCTGGGATCCACAGCAGGAATGAGAAGGGTGGAGGGTGGTATCTGGAAGGGTGAACAGAAGATAATTAATCACACGTTTGCCCTTGGACCAGCTACTCCACTCCTAAGAACATACCCTAGACAAGTTCACACACTTGTGGGCAAGGAGGTGTGTACCAGGTTGTCTATTACAGCACTGGTAAGAATAGAGGAAAAGTGGAAATCACCACATTGTCCCTCTTTAGGTTGTTTACGTAACTGTGCTGTATAAACGGTGGTTTATTCGTGAAATGAAATGCCATTCTGCAATTAAAGTGGATGAACTACAGATACATGTATCAATTCCATAAATCTCAAAAAGATAATGCTGAGTGGATTTGCAATTTGGAATGACACGGATAAACCTGGAGGATGTTATGCTAAATGAAATAAGCCAAGACAGAAAGACAAATGTTCCACGAAACCACCTGTATGAGGAGTCTAAAACAGTCAAACTCACGAAAGCAGAGACTGAAGTGACGGCTGCCAGAGGCTGGCGGCTGGAGGAAGCAGGGAGGCTTTAGTCAAAGGACACACACCAGCTTTACGAGATGGATAAACCCTAGGCATCTACTGAGTAACTTTAGCCTACAGTTAACATTACTGTACACTGAAAAGTTTGTTAGGAAGGTAGGTGTTATGTTGTGTTTTTACTACGCACTAATGATTGAT